ATCATCATTTTATAGTGTCAGAAGGAGCAGATTACCAATTAGAAATATTCTGTCACATTCCACGATTCCCTGACACAAGGAATATAGACATGCGAGATCAAAGCATGCAGTTCTTACATGAAGTGATTTCCAGATTGAACCCAGGCTCGCCTGAATCATTGGATCAATTTATGAACACTATCAACGCTACCTTGGATGTTTTATCACAGATTGAAATGGAAGAAGATATAATGTTCCGGGAAAGGTTGTGCCGTGAGGCAGTTTTATGTCCGACGATTGAAGTCTCTGTCAATCATACGAACCAGGGTCTCATTACATGATCTTCGTTAGAAGGTTAGAATTTGCCGAGAAATTGCTGATGCTGCCCATTATAACTTCACAAGGAGTGCTGATGCTATAAGACGATATAACAAGAGATTTGCCAGTACTTCAGCTTAAGTGGACAAACTTTCTTCAAAGATAAAGAATCTCTGGAGGGAGATCAATAATTCAATGTCCTGCAAGGTTGACCTTCAAGAGAAACAAAAAGTGCAAGCACGAGTAATAGAGAGGGAGCGTAATCGTTATCAGATTTGCCATCGCACTATGCAAGATGCTGAGGCTGCACTTACTCGGGCTGCGGAAGAATTGCATGTTGCTGAGACCGAACATCAAACCCTTGCCGAGGTTATGTCGCATCTTCAAGATCTACAGAATCGATTACTCTAATTGTAATTTGATATTGTTCTTTGTTGGAGATTATGTAACCATATTTATGTATCTTTATTCTCTTTCTTGTACTCTCTTCACATATATATTTGTGTATTGACCCAAGTGTCAAATTTGTAATTTTTTTAGCTCGGCTATAATAGCTTATTGAACCAGTTGGGATTGTTATCAGTCTGACACTTTATGCTAATGGACTTAATGATGACGAATCCTACTTAACATTTGAGAATTTGCTTCCTTCTGTCTTGTGCTTTCTGCGACGGACTTGATGAAGGGTTACCTGATTTGTTTTCATTAACTTGTCAAAGAATTTGCTTACCTTCTCCTCTTTGCTTTCTGCTTTGACTAGCTTGATAAAGGAGTGCACGCCCATGACCCAAATCCTTAGATTTATATTAGGTCGATGGCGAAAAATCATCAATCCAGAGCTTTGTGTATGACAGACTTTTTGATGACGAAATCCTCCTAGTTCAGCCTTATGCTATGTGTGAACTTTGGGATGATTTCGTCGGTCATTTTCTTAGTGCTTTGGCGGACTTGTTGAAGAAGAATTCCTTCGATCATCGCTTTGTGCTTTACGAATTTGTTGAAGGATTTGCAAGTTTTGGATCTGGTTGATACTATCAAATGTAGGTAGTATCTTAATCCTTAACCATTTGAGTAGAATTTAATCTGAGTCAATTGAGTTCATCAAATCATGAGAGATAGGATTTGATAGCTCTTCATCCTCTGGTTGTTGAGATGGGTGTTCCTCTACTACGGTCTTTCTTATAGCGTGTTGAGTAGATGGAGTTGTCAGGAATCCGGCCATATTTGAACTTGTTGGATCCGACCTTTTACACCCATTCAGGCTTCAGACTTGAGCCATGAGAAATGTGCTTCCCAATGCTGATTTCACTGAAGTTGGTAGATTTGGAGTTCTTCTTTGTAGTTTAAGATTTAGAACCTACGTATATTTAATAATTGTTTGTAACTTATCTTCTGATTGGAACTTTGATTCTCCGGTCTATTAGGATAATTTAATAGACTATAATCACTTGAACTTGTCGAGTCAGATTAGCCTTTGCACTTCCTACAGTCCTTACTGATGGGTTGACGAAGTGGGGGTTCCGTTACTACGGTTATATTTGTGCGTGTTGGATCTGATCTTTTATACCCATTCGAACCTTAAACTTCGGACTGTTGAAAGATTTCAAGCTGTTCTGACTTGCTTTGTTGAAGTGTGTAGTCACAAAAAATCTCTTTCTTGACTTTTAAACCTTAGTACGTTGGAAAAGATGTTGTCTCGAACTTTCGAGAGATCAACTGCGTATACTTTGAAAAGAATTCATTGTATTTTCCTTGAACGAATATTTGCATTGATAATCTTAAATATTTATTCAGGGATCTTGGCATGCAGCACGATGTTGACCCGAATAAATATTTAAAATGCTCTATCTCGCAGAAACATTTTAGAATAGAATAAATTTGGAATTTTTATATTTTAAATATTTATTTGGGGATCTCGGCATATAGCACAATGTCAATCCAAATAAATATTTAAAATGCCCCATGTTCATAGGGAAATTTCATATAAATATTGTACTTCAAGATTTTAAATATTTATTCAGGGATTTCTGCACGCAGTGCGATATCGACCCGAATAAATATTTAAAATGCCTCCAGTCTTATGGGGAATTCTTGTGGGTTATTTGAAATGCATTCTTGTGACACAAGAGAATTTCAAAATGTAAAACATATATGCTAACAAACATGTGTAAAATACACAGTGCATTAAAGAAAATATTTTTTTGGATAATTTTATGCGAAATACTTCTTTAGATATCGACCATTGATCGGCGGCATGAGTTTCTGACCGTGTAGGTCGATAAGTTGATAAACTCCTCCTTGATATACCTTCTCGATGACAAAGGTGCCTTCCCAATTGGATACGAATTTGCCACCTATTTTTCGATGTGGAATGATTGGTCTTCTCAACACCAGAACCTACTCTCCTTCTTGAAATGCTCGATGGCGCATCATCCGATCAAATGATTTTGCCATCCTTTCTCGTTAGATCTCCAAGTTCTGTTGGGCTTGCAGTCTAATCTCGTCGAGTGCATCAAGTTCCTTCATTCTCAGGCGAGCATTTTGCTCATAGGTTAGATCGTACTGAATTGCCACTCGAAGTGACGGCAGTTCAATCTCTAGTGACAACACTGCTTCAACTCCGAATACGAGTGAATAAGGAGTGGCTTTGGTTGGTGTTTTGTAAGTTGTACGATATGCCCATAGAGCTTCTGCCCTCTTCGTATGCTACTCCCTTTTGTTCTTGGTGAGGATTTTCTTCAATATTTTCAGTAGCATCTTGTTAAAGGCTTCTGCCAAGCCATTTGCTCTTGGTTACCATTTTTCTTTCCAAAATCTATCATGTTCTTTTTATTCATCCACATTTATAGTTCAACTTATCCTCTCAATTGTACATGCGTAAAACATTTTGAGTCTATTTTTCGTAGGCTTGTCTTTCCATAAGTGCAACAACCGCTTTTTCTAATTTAATAATTCAAATTTTTATTCTTCCTTATTTTACTATGCATCCTTATTTTCTAATTTCTATTGTACTGATTTTTAAGGGGCATGTATGATCCAAAATTTTGATCATCCACCAAAACTTCTACGTATAAACTTTATGCTTTTAAGTAACTATCACTTTACAATTTGTTACATAAAAAGGGTTATATATATAATGATTTATCAACATACCAATTTTTTTGTTAAATTCTATGATGCACCTCAAAGAGGCGTACAGTGTCCGACACGTGTTTGATACGTCTTTGACATGTCTCGGACACGTTAAAAACGTATCTAATTAAAAATATTAAATACAAATTGGATACACCTGTCCGACACTTGTGCCTTAAATATTTCATGAAATTTTAAAGAAAATATAATTTCTTGTATTAAAAATTTTTATATATTTAAAATAGAAAATTTTAATTTTTATTTCATATCCACAACACAAAATCAATCGTCCACACTCAATACCTCATTCATCGAATATTCTCATTTTCATTTCTCTTTGGCTGTTCGTGACTTTGGTTTCACAACAATGCTCAATGTCATCTCAACATTAACTTCTAATGTCGTTACAACATTGACATTTCAAAACCATCTCAATATCAAAGTTTGACATTGTCTTGACATTGATGCTTGACGCTAGCAATTTCTACACCTACAACTTAACAACTCATCTTTGTCCAAGGTCGTGTTAGCATCGACGACAAACGCCCTTTCAACATTAACGACAGACACCCTCTTGATATAGATGCCCAATACTTATTGCATAACATCGATGCCCTACTCTCGACAGTATTGTTGCCTCCTCTCTTGATGCCTCATGCACAATATCGACGCCCAACTTTCGACATCCTAATATTACTTATTTTAAGCACAAATTCTAGTTAAATGACTTATTATTTTTAAATTATTTTAATATTATACTTATTCAATTTTGATATACTATTTTTAAATTATAAAATTATAATACCGTGTCTAACCCGTACATGTGTCTTATATTTTTAATAATTGAGGCGTCCCTTGTCCGTTTTGTGTCGTCGTGTCCGTGTTTGTGCATCATAGGTTAAGTTAAGTTTGAAGTCAAATAAGAAAATTTATGAGTCTAAACTTTTTGTGTTTAGCTATATTGGCCATGTCTGCACTATGGATGTTAACTATGTTAACTTTTGCTCAAAAATATATATTTTTTAATTTGTTTGTAGCTATGAATCATTTCTGCAATCTGGCTTAATCTCTGTAACTGTTGATGATATGATTGTATTGTTTTTATGTGCTTCAATTTTTATGCTTTTATAATATATCATGCAACTATTTTTTCTTGCAAATATAGTTTTTGTGCATATATATATATATATAAAGAGAGATAGACTAATAACCTTTTAGAAAGATGATTTGCAATCTCCTTGCTTATCATCGATCAAGATATATGAATGATGTATGATGTGCAAGGAAAATAGACTCTATCCTTCTAAAAGGATCGTTCACTCTCTCTCTCTCTCTCTCTCTCCCTCTCTTTATATATATATATATATATATTAATAACCTTTTTGAAAGATAGTGCTCATTCTCCTTGCATATATCATCCATCAGGATATGTAAATGATGTGCAAGGAGAATAGACTTTTTTTCTTTAAAAGGGACAGCTCTCTCTCTCTCTCTCTCTCTCTCTCTCTATTCTATAATTGTATTTGTAGCTATAACCTTTTTCTCTTTGTATGTATAATGAATGTTAACAGGCTATGAATTTCTTCGCTGGTTTGTTACTCTTGCTAATGCCCGAGGAAAATGCATTCTGGTAGGTCCCAAGTACCCAAACCAACTACCCCGGTAATTGCTTGAGATGAATGATTAGTTAAGCATTTGAATTTCATGATCAAAGTAAATGTGTCACTCTAACGAATCCTTGGTAATAGATTCTGTATTATTATTTCTAAGCTTTGATAGCATCCATCAGGACTTTATTGGGTATTATGGATGATTATTTTGAAGGATACTACTCTGAGGAAATGATTGAATCTCAGGTAGTTCTTTTTACTGTTTGGATCAATTTTATAAATGACATTCATGTTGCATTCTGTTTTCTTCTTTAGAAATGGCTCTCTTGTTGTGGCTATATTACAACCAGATGAATGAATATTTTTAGCGTGTTTTTCTCAAATTAAAGCATCTTCTTATTGAAGCCTTTTTTTCAGGTTGATCAGCTTGTTTTCGAGGATATAATTCATGAAAAGTTCCCAAAGTTAGGTTGGTACTTTACATAACATTGTTTTTAATCTCATAAAAGTGTATTGCTGTTAGATCATTTATCTTCTATCTGCAGCTAAGCATTTCGACTACCTGGGGGTGCAAGTTGCATGGGTCACTGGACCTTGGTTCCTTTCAATTTTTTTGAATGTGATTCCCTGGGAAAGTGGTCAGGTTTTACCTTTTTCATAAATCAGTTTTTTTTTTAAAGACCTGCTGCATATGCCTTAATCATTGTATCCACTGATAATTATAATATTCCATCAAAATTCCAGTTAATATTGGTTACTACTTTTTCAGTGGCTATTTTTTCTTACATTTCAAGGCTGTAAGGTATAATTATGTTATTACAAATAGTTGTATCTTATTTGATATGGGTTTATAACTCCAGCTCTTCGCGTTTGGGATGTTCTTCTTTTTGATGGAAATCGTGTGATGTTATTCCATACTGCCCTTGCATTGTTGGAGTTATATGGTATTGGGTAAATCCCTCTCAATTTTTGGGCCTACATTTGTATTCTACTCTTAATCAGTTATTATAGTTAAACTATTGTACCTTTTGCATTTGCTTTATAGGTTCCGCATTGGTGACTACAAAGGATGCAGGAGATGCAATAACGTTACTTCAATCACTTGCTGGTTCAACTTTTGACAGCAGTCAGCTTGTCTTGACAGCTTGCATGGGTTATCAAGCTGTTAATGAAGTAAAATTGCAGGAGCTTAGGGAGAAATATAGGCCTCAAGTTGTCCGTGCCATGAAAGAACGGTCAAGAGATCTCAAAGATTCTAGATGTTTAGCTTCTCAGCTATATAGCTTTAAATATGATCTTGGTTCACTACCTCTTGAAATAAAATCAACTGAACAATCACGTGACCGACTTACAGTTGGTAATGAACCTTCAAATTTGGAAGGATTCCGTAATGGCGATGCTGTGTTGGATCTCAAGAAGCAGGTAAAATTTATGTTATTTTACAATGCGTATAATTACTATGTGGACAGTGAAATGACTAGATGATGTAGGACTACAATGCTTAAAGTGTATGATAAGAACTTGCATGATTTCTTAATAAAAACAATTATGATTATGACTATTATCAAATTAAAACGATCAAATAAAACATAAGATCGTTCACTTCCGTTTAGGCTAAGTTGCACAATAAGCGCTTGAGTTATCAAAACAACAAAAGAGAATCAACAACTTGCAAATGGAATAGCTTTATATAAAAATTCCTAATCTAACAATAAGATTAGAAGCAAATAAGGTGCAATCAATCCCTACGTTTATTATGCTCGGCAGAGTTTGGCGAGCAAGATCTTCCTGAATCTATCAAATCACAAGAACGAGTTAGACAATGAAAATACACGAAAAGGAATATCGGTAAACCCTTATCATGGTTGTGTTGCGATCCTCCACTGAACTGTGCCAAGTTGTTCTTCAATAGCCTCGACCAGGGTGTCGAGGATGCGCTCTACGTACTCGTTTACGGTGTTGTCGATACGCAGGTTGACGTCGAAAATGGTCGAGTGAAGAATGCAAACAAGTCATTGTTCTTCGTAGGCGAGACCGTTATCAAGATCCGGATCGGCCATGCATGTCCTTTGAGGTTGAGATGTTGGCGACGATCGTTGAGGCTTCCCTTGAAGACCCCTCTTGAGATGGAGGAGGTAAGCTAGGGAAATCAAGAGGTGAAAGGGAAAAGAGGTGGCCGGCCAAGGATGAGAGCAAGGTAAAGGGTTTTGGCTCAGATTTTGGGAGAGGAGATGGAGGGAATTTTTTTAATTCAACACTTCCTAATTATTCTCTTAATTGAAAATAATTAAAGGAAGAGAGAAAGGGCAAGAGGGGGGCGGCGGCAATGGGAGAGAGGAAGGGCTAATTTAATTCCATTAGGAGGGACTCCCTTTTGGAAAGAAATTAATTGGATGGGAGCATGGGGATTTCGGCCTAGGAGGGATTTGAGTTTTGGAATTATTTCCAAAGTAGCGAATTGGGTTTAGAAAAGAATTCCTATTCCAATCACATTGGGGGGCCGGCGACAATAATGGGGGAATATGGATTAAAGGCAAGTGTTTAATGCTTGCTTAAAATAGGGAACTTAAATTAGGGAAGGGAAATTAAATCCCCTTTAATCAAATATTGATTTGATGATGTGTTTTAAAACTTTCTTAAAATAGATTTTGTATTTTAGGAAAGATTTTGAATTTCAAATCACTTGGATTTGAATTCAAAATTCTTCCTAAGTTGTCCAATCTAAATTAGGAAATAAGAAAGAAAAAAAGGGGGGGGACTCAAAGGGGCCGGCGGCTAGGGTGGAGGTGGCTGTCAGTCTTGGTAGTGGGGATGGGGTCGGTTGGGTGAAAAAGGAGGGGGAATCGGTGAGGGAGGGGGAGGGGAGCTGGGGAGGGGAGCTTGACCGCGGGTGGGGAGAAATGAAGTTGGGCCTGCAATGGTGATGTAAGCAAGCTATACCCCCTCATGCAGCCACATGATGCTTCAATTCATTGCCTTGTTTGCTTGTTTCCTTTGACTATGTGGGCATTTATTTATGGGCTGTTATCACCTTATTGGGCTTGGCCCATTTTTCTCTAAAATGCCTTGGCTTTTGAGTTCGGATATAGTTATTAGTGGCTTTTAGAATTCTGCTGAATTCCAATGCTGTATTCGGTTCAGTTCTGCTGAAATTTTCTGGTTGTTTGGTTCGTACACTGTCCATTCCCCTTTACATGCTATTTTCCATGTTGAATGGCTTCTATTGGCTGCTAATGGGCGGCACATTTATGGGCTGTTTGGGTTTATTTCCTCCTATAAATAGGGGTTAATTGCTGCTGCTAGGGGATGAAAAAAATGGTATTTTTGGACATGAAAAACTGATGGTTTTTCTTGGAAGTTTTTCTTGGAAAAGCTTGAGAGCTTGTTATATTTCTTCTTCAATTTCTCGGGAAAGCTTGCGAGCTTCTCCACTCTTCGTCTCGGCTTATAATCTTGTTCTTCTCTCGTCAAGTTTCGACGTCACCTGTATCCTTCTTCTCGACGAATGAAAGCAAGTTTATGTTAATGTTTGTGTCGTTTGTAAGCGTTCAAGTTTGTAAGCCCACAGGATTTCCAAAGCAAACCCGCAGGTTATAGCTTCCAAAAATAACTTATAACTTATCATTCAACTTCTTTCAAACATTACAAGTCCCCCATATATATAGGTATGAAAGGGAATACAAAGAGACACTAACATTAATTTTAACACAAGAAACTAAGCATCAAAAGCATTAAACCCAAATGCTTTTCACGCAAAAACAGCCCAAGCCAAGAAACCGAAGAGGTAGCCGCGGGAGCCAAGGAGGTCGAGCAGGAACCAAGGGGGCACAGTCACGGGAGGGAGCACAGGCACGGGAAACCAGCAGCCGGCCGGAATCCAAGGGGGAAATGCAATGAAACCATGGAGGAAACCAAGGAGTCATGCAATGGGAATACAAAACATCTATCTTGGGATTCCAAAAGCCCTTTTTCGAACCCCAAGAGACATCATAAAAGAAGACTTTAAAACTTTAAATAACATTTAATAAAAAGTGAGATAATAAATGAACTAAAATGTTAGCTAATAATGAGCTAACCCTTAGTTCAATAAGTGAACTAAAGACCAGCTCATGAATGAGCTAAAATTCTAGCTCAATTTTGATTGAGCTAGTAGACTCAAGGGAAGCCAAAATTCATATTATTTTGGACATGAGTTGACCCCCCTTTGGTCTAATCAGATTCTGCCCCTTCTTGAAGTATCTCCAGCTCCCTGATGAGTTGGT